TTATGAAAGATACATGCACTCCAATATTCAGAGCAACATTATCTTCAGTTGCCAAGACGTGGAAGCAACCTAAGTGTCCATCAACAGATGAATGGATAAAGCAGATGTGGTATTATATACACGATGAGATACTACTCAGCCATAAAAAAGAATGAAATGTCACAATTTTCAGCAACATGGATGGACATGGAGGGTATTATGCTAAGTGAAATAAATCAGACAGAGAAAGACAAACACTGTAGGATATCACTTGTATGTAGAATCTAAAAAATACAACAAACTAGTGAATATAATAAAAAATAAGCAGACTCACAGATATAGAGAACAAACTAGAGGTTACCAGTGGGGAGAAGGAAGGGGGGAGGGGCAAGATAGCAGTAGGGAATAAAGAGGTACAAACTATTATGTGTTAAATAAGCTACAAGGATATATTGTACAACATGGGGAATATAGCCAATATTTTATAATAACTATAAGGAGTATAACCTTTAAAAATTGTGAATCACTATATTGTACACCTGTAACTTATATAATATTGTACATCAATATAATACAAGTATACTTCAATAAAAAATTAAAAAAGAACTAGATGGAATTAATAAAGATGGTTTTTATAGGAAAAGTGAAGCTAGAAGAAAAAACTAGACTGGTTCAGAGGGACAAAAATATCGTGAATGAGAAAATCACCTTTGTGAAGACTCTAGGAACCAATGAAATAACAGAAACAGCTATACGATGTAGCCTGTGTCCGAGCCAGAGTGTAAAGAGAGGGGACCTGTTCTGATAAGAACAACTTGGAATAAGGACTGGGTAGCTGTATGTGATCTTTAGATACAGTCAGAGAGGAGTAAAATGTTCTTCAGTTGCATCTTCTGATTTCTTAGCCAGAGACCCAAGCTTTCTTGAAATAGGAGGATGGCTGGCTCAGTTTTATCAGTGATCTTTGGAGACACGGATTTGAGTTGATCAATTATTCATCTGCTTGTTTTCAGCAACCTGATGACCAGCCTCATTTCCTGGAAAGCCCTGATGTTGGTTCCATCACATGGCCACAGGGAACCAGATGCCTGAACGCACTGTGCACATTTCCCCTTCTGAATGGTGAAAACGAAGGTTTAGGAAATGCAGAGTGGCTGATCTGTCTCTGGCAGAAAGTCCTGGCCACTCGGTCAAAGCTCTTCTCCCTTGACTCCCCTTCTACTCTTTAGACAATAGTTCAGGATGATGAATTCAGTCAAGCCCAGCTCCACTGTGTGCGGCATTTAGGAGGACAATGGAGATGAGAGGTGGATCCTGAAGGCTCAGAAACTGCAATTTGCCTAAGATGCACAATACAGGGAATTAAACATAGAACTTTCTGTCATCAAAGTCCTTCTTTTTTCCACAACACCATGAAGCTGTGGGATGGGTATGAGACCTTATCCCCAGAATGACAGAGTAAATACTGTACCTTTAACTGATTCCTAATCTGATGTGCACCCCCTTTTCACAGTCTTTGATGGAGAGATAAACAGACATGAGGGCAGCTCTGGGAAAGAACAGAACTTGCATGGTGGGAAGAAGGGCTGTACTCTTGCTTCTGGAGCTGCCTATACCCAGGACAATTCTATTTGAGCTCCAAGTAGATACACTGAGCCCTTTTTACGGTCACAGTGAAAACAGGGAACTTCAAGTTCATTTCCTTCGGGGGGGCTGGTTTTGCAACCTTTTTTTCTGGGTTAAAGTTATACCATTAGTTAATTCTAAAGTCTGTTTTGATTCTGCCACCCACCTACAGACACGGCCACTACCTACCACCCAGATTCCTAAATTACTCGATCGGATTCAGCTAATCCACCCTGCTGTTGGTGAGTCTTAAAGTCATTTTAACAATAGCCCTGAGCCAGCCGAAGCTTCCTTCCTGTCTTCTTGCTCCAAACTCTGAAAATCCTGTGACACAAAATGGAGCTGGACTCGTGGAAAGCTGTGAACCTTGTCAGCTGCCTGGTGAATGGTCCCATTTCCCAGGTCCTTTCTGCATTCAGGATCAGAAGGATGGCCCACAGGGAAATGAAAGGAAGTCATCCCGCCTTGTGACCCAACACTGCCCCCTTCATCACCAGGGCTGGGGTTGGGCTTTTTATATAACATGGCAGAGAATGCAGTAGCTGGGCCTATGCAGAAGGCCAGGGGGCCTGCCCTCAGGACTTGACATCCCTTTGCACTTAGAAGTCTGGCTTTGAGACCTAGCACTGCCCTTCTTTTACGCTGACTGCTGCAGCCAACATAAAAAGCCTTCTCTCCACTCAGGGCTGCCAAAACTCAGAAAGGGCCTATTCATAACAGGCTTGTGCTGTCTCTCCCTCTGGCCCCCAGCCCTCCTACCCACCGTGGGTGGGGCAGCAGGGCTGAGGAAAGTTCTGCAGGCCTGAGAACAGCAAGAAAACACAGGGCTGCTGCCCTCCCACCCTGTCTGAACACTCAGGGTTAAGCCCTTGAGACCTTGAAGAAGGAAAAGATGTTGCCCGGAGAAAGGGAGCAAACAGAAATATTGATCGTCCACAGTTGTTTGGCCCCAGATCGGTAGTTCTCAAAATTTATTGTGTATAGCAAACTTCTGGAGTGCTTCCTAAAATGCAGATTCCTGGGTTACACCTCTAGAGACTGTGATTCAAAAACTGCAAGTAGGGTCTCCATGAGCATTTTAAACAGGCCTAGAGGCACATTTTGCCCCCAAACCTGAGGCAGAGTTGGAATGTTTCTCCCCACCCCCAAGCCCAGCCTGGGATTATTCAGTACAGCCTCAGCACCAACCAGCCTATGGCAGAAATGCTCCGGTCCTCAACTTGTGGTCCCCACAGAACCTGGGAAAGCTCCTGGCACAGACAGGGTAGACCAGTTAAATCACATCAGCCTCAGTGGGGAGCTCAAGCTCAGGGTGGCAGTATTTCTTAGAGTTCCAGATTTACCGGGAGGTTTGTGATGAGGGAAAAAGTGAAGTCCAGTTGGAATGTGGAAATCTACATTGACTCTCCACACTGGGCTGCTGACTGCATGGAGGGCTCATTGTGAAGATACCTCTTGTAATCCTGAGGGTCCTCCGATTCCGATTCAGGTTTGTATAGATATGTGGGGTAGAGTACTGGACCAAGGCACAGGGGACTTTAGTGAGCTACTCATGAGCTGACTTTTTCTGGGCTTCGCTCTGCCTATCTGTAAAATGAGGGGTTGGCCCAGGAGTCTGCTAAGGTTCTAGAGTTCTCTAGCCCCTACAGCTTGCTTCTGTTCTTCATCCTCACGTATGAATGCTTGGGCAGGGGCTAGGTCTAATTCTCTCCCTCACTGTTTGCCCAGTATAACTAGAAGAGTACCTGGTACATAGTAGGTGCCCATTAAATATTTATTGCAGGAATGAATACATATTTATAACAGGTCATAAGCTAAAATAGTCCTCACTGGAACAATGCCCAGGTAGTAAGGCAGGGGCAGGGACTGAGGCTGCTGGAATCTTGCAAGCAAGAAAACCCTGACAAGCCAATGGCCTAGGTGGCTTCATCAGGGTATCTGACAACTTCAGAGGTGGCCTTTCTTTCCCTTTAAACATATCTAATTTGTCTTAGGTATGTTCTTAGAATTTGTGTACACTGTAGAAAATTTATAAATTTTAAAAATATATTAAATGAATGTAAAGACCATCCAACCAGTGATCTTTCCTTTTTTCTTTCTTTCTTTCCTGAGCTTGTCTATACTTTTGGAATTAGAGGAAAATGATATGATACATGTTATTTATTTACATTTATTTGTATTTATTTATTTTTGACTGCATTGGGTCTTCGTTGCTGCGGGCAGGCTTTCTTTAATTGGGGCCAGCGGGAGCTACTCTTTGTTGTGGTGTATGGGCTTCTCACTGTGGTGGCTTCTCTGTATGGCCTCTAGGCGCGGCCTTCAGTAGTCGTGGTGCGTGGCCTCAGTAGTTGTGGTGCAGGGGCTTAGTTGCTCTGCGGCACGTGGGATCTTCCCAGACCCCGTGTCCCCTGCATTGGCAGGCAGATTCTTAACCACTGCGCCGCCAGGGAAGCCCGATACATGTTATTTAAAAAGCCACCTGTAATTCAAGGGTGATCATTGCTAAATTTTATGCAGTTTTCAACGTTTTTCTATGCATGTCTATGTATTTGGAAAACATACTGTTTATATAGTGTCATAACTTGAATTCTCTGCTTGCATGTCCCTTAATGTCTTAAGCATCACTTTCAATGGCTTCATGATAATAGTACATTTAAGCACTCCCTCATTATGGACATTTAAGCTGTTTCCTTCCATTTAAACTTTGTATTATAAGGATCACAGTGATAAGGATATTTGCCCACGCTTTTTTTAATCTGTATTTCTTATTTCCTTAGGATAGCATCCCAGAAGTGGAATTATTTGGTCAAAGAGTGTAAAGCTCTTTAAGCTCATTGAGACGTGGTGCCAAACTATTTTGTAGAAGTTTCTTTCAACGAGCTTTGTAGCTGCCCCAGCAGAGAAACAACCCTTCGAGCTTGAAGGCATCCTTGAAGCTGTGTGGCCGCTGCAGTGGGAGGCGGGAACGCACAGGGTTCCTCGGGCATTTCTGTCTCGGATTCCCCTCCACGGGCAGTTTCCTAGTTCTTAGAAATTTTTCTTTTCTTAAGATAATTGGGAGAAAAAAAAACGTCCCAGGGGTGGAGGATGTTAGTGGTAATGGCAGTAGTGGTGGGGGTGAGGGTGACCCTTACGTGTGAAAAAGAGAATTTGTCAACAAGAATCCAACACTTGGAGATCCTTCACGGAAACATCCATCTAATCCAAAGTGAGCTTCCAGAGAAGGTCAGGATAATGAAAGAGGAGCCGGTAACAGGATAGGAGTGGGAGAAGGCCTCCAGCTGGAAAGCGGCGTCCCCTTTAAGACCCAAACCGAAGCCTGGCCCTTTAAATCTGTGTCAGTTTCCCCTGACGTCAGCGGGCGGGCCGGCAGCCCTGCTGTTTACCGCCCCGCGGCGTTGCTCACTCCCCGGAGTTCTGAGCACGGAAGCCGGCGCCCCAGAAACTCGCCGCGCCGCGCGGCGTCGGGTTGCTACCACCTATCACGACCCTCACCCTCAGACTCTCCTCCTTTCGCGGCCGACCCCGCCGCCGGCTTCCGCTCCCTTCCGCCCTCCCTCCCTCCCTCCCTCGCTCCCCTTTCCCGGCGTCTCCAGGCTCCCAGCAACTAGCCGCCTCCGGGCTGTCACGGCCCTGGCGGGCGCCCGCCGGGTCTCCCAGCCGTGCTCGGCCCCTCGCGAGCTGGGGCCCCTTCCTGTGGCCCGTACCCCAACCCCTCCCCACCCCCTCCCAGCCGCCCCATCCCCTCCCTGGCCGCTGAGAGCGCGTCTGCGGCTCCAGGGGAGGGACCGTTTCCTAATCTCAGGCCGAGGTTAAAGTTCTGGTCCTGGTGAGATGCTGGAAGCTGCGGCCAGAGCCGCAACCCGCCCTGGAGGTGACCTGTCGCTTATCGTCGCCGCCGCCGCTGCTGCCGCCACTGCCGCCCGGCCGGGGCCATGTTCGCTCTGGGCTTGCCCTTCTTGGCACTCTTGGTGGCCTCGGTCGAGAGCCATCTGGGGGTTCTGGGGCCTAAGAACGTCTCGCAGAAAGACGCCGAGTTTGAGCGCACCTACGTGGATGAGGTCAACAGCGAGCTGGTCAACATCTACACCTTCAACCATACTGTGACCCGCAACCGGGTGAGGGAAGGGGCTGGGCTTGGGGCTGGTGGTGCGTGGGCTAGCGGACCAGGGTTCCGCGATGCTGTCAGTCCCCAAGAACAGCCGCCCCACTGGGTTTCCCAGAACCACGCTGGACCCTCTTGCCAGCCCTTCTTCCTTTGCCAGGGATGTTTGTTCTGAAGCTACCAGTGGACAGTTTCTGAAGTTGCCTCTTTCCAATCTTCTCTTTGATCCCTTCCTTTCTACCAGCTGTAGTCTGAGCAGGACTGGCCTGCTCCCTACCCAGCACCCAGAGTCCGACAGTGCTGTGGGGTCTGGGAGCAAGGAAGCAGGCTTGCTACTGGGCTTGGCCCAGAAAACCCCAGGGGGATGAGACAGGCCCAAACTGAAAGGCTCTGCCTCCAGGGAGTTCTAACTGAGACTCCCCAGGGAAATAAATGCAGGACTTCCCAGGCTGCTGTAACTGCTGGGAACTTCCCAGCCCTCTTCCTTCCCTTGGAAAGACAGCTGGCCTTGTAAGTTGAAGGTGGTGGAGATACAGCCAACCCCAGGTTGGGTGGGAGGGGAGAAGGAGTTTGCCTACCATGGAGAAGCTTCCTCACCCTGATTTCTCTTTCATTTCTCCCCAGCTGTGAGTTGAACATGGGCACAGCTAGGTCTGGGAAGCCTAGACCCCAGGCAGGGCTGAGATTTGGAGCACTCTTGCAGCCTGGCTCACGGTCTCCTGCTCAGCTCTCACCAGGACTGGATTTACTAAGAAGTGGTGGAGTTCAGAATGGGAATCTGATTTTTTTTTTTTTTTCAGAATGGGGAGGGATTGGGTTTTGATGGCAGGCCAGGATCTGCCTTCAGTGCCTGGTTCTCTGAAGTTTGATCTCATCCAACTTAGAGTCCTTTCTCTTTTTGCCCCCATATGTGGGGTTACCCTGAGAACGGTGGCCTCTATCCATCTGGGAGGTGCTGCCCTAAGGGCTTGGGTTTCAGCAGCCCAATAACAAGCAATCCCAGGATTTATTTTATTTTATTTTTTTCTTTAAGCTCCGACTGTCCTATATACTTTCCTCCATAGTGCCAATGGTGGGAGTGTCTCCATTTTATAGAGGGGGATGTTGAGGCTCAGAGATGTGAAGTGACTTTTCCACAGCCCTATCCCTTGGTCAGAGCTAAGGATAGAACTTGGCCTTCTTGGCTTTCAACGATCCCTGTTTCCCCACCTCCCCGTGGCCTCTGGCTGCCAGATGAGTTGTAGAATAGGAACTTCCTGGCTCACAAGGAAGAAGGTTGGGGAGCACGTCTTGCTCTCCCGTGTCCCTGTGTGTGCGCATGTGTGTACATGCACGTGTGTGCAGATGCATGTGTGTGCAGGCATGTGCATCTGTGAACTTTTATAGCAATGGGGTATGCTGGGGATGCCTGAGGTCTCCATTGTGTTTCCCATCCTCTCCCCTAAGTCCCTCCTGGAGTCTGGGGGCTGCTCTGGCAGATGAAGGGGCATAAGTAGCTCCCCAGCTCGACCTGGATGGGGAAAGCACAAAGCCGTCTGCTTGAGGGAGGGCAGAGCTCACAGTCTCTGGAGCCATGTGTTCCCCTGGCAGAATTAGAGTCACCACGGGCTTGACTTAGGGACATTTCCGTGTCATCTTGCAGACAGAGGGCGTGAGAGTGTCCGTGAATGTCCTGAACAAGCAGAAGGGGGCTCCTTTGCTGTTTGTGGTCCGCCAGAAGGAGGCGGTGGTGTCCTTCCAGGTGCCCCTGATCCTGCGAGGGATGTGAGTAGGACCTGGGGACCAGGGAGGGGGGCTAGGCCCAGGCCAGGCCTTGCCCAGAGCCTCACTCAGGGCCTTGTCCAGGGCCCCCGACCACCTGGGTGCCCCTCTGTTTCTCCTCCCCATTCCCCGAGCCAGGAGGCTGGTCAACGGCACAAGGGCCCAGCCAGCTGACCTGGAGCTTGTCAGCCTAGTGGAGGTGGGGTAGGGAGGTAGTGGGACCAGAGCGGAGGAATTGGGGCTCTGCTCCCCTGGAGTGGCGTGCTGGCTGTCATGGAACCGTAGTCATGTCTCATCTCTGCCTCGGACCATAGGTTTCAGCGCAAGTACCTCTACCAAAAGGTGGAACGAACGCTGTGTCAGCCCCCCACCAAGAATGAGTCCGAGGTCCAGTTCTTCTACGTGGATGTGTCCACCCTGTCACCAGTCAACACCACGTACCAGCTCCGCGTCAGCCGAATGGATGACTTCGTGCTCAGGTGTGTAGGGGAGAGCGAGGGGGCCACGGGACTGGCCTCCTTCACAAGCTCTGGGAGTAACGGTGGGGGGCTCTTCTCTGCCCCACAGGACCGGAGAGCAGTTCAGCTTTAATACCACGGCGGCGCAGCCCCAGGTAAGACCTCCCTGTCAACGGTCCCTCCAGAGGAGAAATGGGGAAGCTTGAACTTGGGGGTGGGAGTGGTCAGCACTCTTTGCCAGGAGTTTCAGGTTGGTTGTACTCTCTGTGGAGGACTCTCTAGAAGCAGGAGCACTTGCCCTAAGGTGGCGGGGAACACACAGTATAGGAAGTGCAGAGACATGGGGTCTGGCTGCCATCTTTCCTACTTGCCCCTTGGGCACTGTCCTGAGTGCCCAGCTGAGGCTGAGGGGAGTGGTGTATGGGAAATGGACCTGCTTGTGGGCAAGGCCTTTCTTCCCAGAGAGCCTCCACTGCCCAACCCTGGGAGGATTCACACTCTTCCCTTCTAGAGGGGCAAAGAGAGCATCCTCATGGGATGGGGCTCTCCCCGCCCTCCCTATGCCCTCAGTACTTCAAGTATGAGTTCCCGGAAGGAGTGGACTCAGTCATTGTCAAGGTGACCTCCAACGAGGCCTTCCCCTGCTCAGTCATCTCCATCCAGGATGTCCTGGTAAGTAACCTGCCCTTTTACTCTCCACCAGTGGATAGCAGGGCTGCTGAAGAGAGGGGACAGGGCCCAGGACCCTGCCCATCTGTCTGTCCCCTCCTCCCTCTGTAGTGCCCTGTCTATGACCTAGACAACAACGTAGCCTTCATTGGCATGTACCAGACTATGACCAAGAAGGCAGCCATCACCGTGCAGGTAGGAAATGGGCATGGCCCGATGGGGGATGTGGCCAGGTGATTAGCTTTCCTAACCCTCTCTTCTTTTCCCCTGCCCCATTCCTACCCTACCCACAGGACTGAGTCTTGGCTGTCCAGTCCCTGAAACTTTGGGTCCCCTGATATATGCAAGCATTGAATCACAATCCCAGTTGCCTTTGGGGACAGGAAAGAGCAGAGTACCCTTTATGGCTGCTCTGTACACTTCATTCACCACAGCTGGGAGAGGAAAGGGCCCTGGCTGGTGATGAGGGCTGCCCTTGGCAAAGGCTGAAGCCTGCGCTGGGGGCAGGGAGGGAGAGGCATGTGTTCAGCTCACGACATCCAGGTGTGCAGCTGATGGAGGCACCACGGCCCCTCCACTTTTTCTCCTGACTGATGCCCAGGCTGTAATAGGGCACCCATGGGTTCCATGATGATGGGGCATACCCTCATTTGCTCACCTGGCAGTAGTGTTAGTGCAGGGTACGGGCTCTGGAGTCAGATGATCCTGGCTCTACCGCTTACTGGCAGTGTGACCCTAAGCTAACGTCCAACAGGGATAATGATAGTACTTACTCGTAAGGATCTTTGTGAGGATTCAATAAAATAATATATGAGCAAAGAGTCTAGCATAGTGTCTGGCCTGACACTGTGTATTCAGGCCAGACAGGGTTAGGCATTCAGAAAAGGATGGTGATGGCGATGACAAATGATGACGGTGCTGTGATGATGGCAGTCATCTTCGTCATCACTATCCTTACCGTCCTCCTCATCGTCACCATCATTGCCATTATCACCGTCCTCACCCTGCAGCGCAAAGACTTCCCCAGCAACAGCTTTTACGTGGTAGTGGTGGTGAAAACTGAAGACCAAGCCTGTGGAGGCTCCCTGCCTTTCTACCCCTTTATAGAAGGTACATTTTGTGCCCTGGGCCTGGCCAGGGGTGGGAGGGCTTGGACACTTCCTGGGAGGTAAAAGAGCCTGTGTGGCTGATTGTTGGATCTGATGGGATGTGGGTTTCTGGCTCCAGACTCTCCCAGGTCTGGTCCCACCAACTCTAGCCAAGCTCCAGGCAGGCACTGGTTTGCCATTTTGCCATTTTACTTCCAGATGAACCGGTCGATCAGGGGCACCGCCAGAAAACCCTGTCAGTGTTGGTCTCTCGAGCAGTCACGTGTGAGTGTGGGTGGCTGAGTGGGGATGGCCTGGCCACTGGCTCTTCTTTCAGGCCTGGGGTAGGGAGTGTTCTCTGAATGGGAAGGGTGAGGAGGACCTACTCGAGCAGGCTGACAGGGTAGGAAGGAGGAGTGGTCTTGGAGGGCTTCATGACGGGGGATGGGGGGATGGGGGGGCGGCGGGAGGGTGAGTAATGTGCTTTGGAGCATCCATGAGTAAAGAGATTGAGGGACTGAGTTCTAGATCTGTCTCTGCCACTGTGGGCAGTGTAATCTCATTGAGCCTCAGTTTCCCCATCTCTGTAACAGGAGTAATAGAATCTGTTAGTCTCTATTAGTCTCACTAAGTCGGCTTAGCACAAAATTAGTAGGAAAGTTCCAGGCCCCTTAGTCATGCTCGATAAATGTTTACTGAGTGATTGAATAGAGCCCTTTGTAAACTGGAAAGTATAAGATAAAAATAAAGGATTGTGACGGAAGGGGAAAGAAGCTGCCTCTCCTACATGGATTCCTTATTCAGCACATTTGTTTTGAGTCCCTTCTGTGTGCTTGGTGCTGTGCTCTAGCTGTGGTCCTTAGGGTGCCCCTGTCTAGAGCCTGTTGCTATTCAGGGTGCCGAAGGCTGTGAGGAACCCAGGACAGTCGCTGTGGGAGGTCAGGGCAGAGAAAGCCTCCTAGAGGACACAGCTCCTCAGCTGTGTTTTGAAGGTTAAGTCAAGGAGGGGTCTTGGAGAAAGAAGTAGGGGAGAAAGTTCTAGCAGAGGGAGCTGTGTGAGCAGAGCCAGGAATCATGTCGAGTTTGGCATATTGTTGGCACTGGCTGGGTCATTCCACCTGAGGGGAGACGTGGAGAGAGATGAGCCTGGGCCCTGCGTGCTGTGATGGGCAGGCTTGGAAAGTACTGGTGTATTTTCCTTCCCACTTCCCTGCCCACAGCCGAGGCCTACGTTGGCGGTATGCTCTTTTGCCTGGGCATATTTCTCTCCTTCTACCTGCTTACCGTGCTCCTGGCCTGCTGGGAGAACTGGAGGTAAAGTGGGACCGCTGGGCCCTCCCCTGCTCTGGGGTAGGTCAGGCATGGGGAAATGGCCTGGCAGGATCTGTGTGGCCCTGGATAATCGCCATCCACGAGGCATAGGAATGCAGGTCCCTGTGAGGGTCTGAGGTCCCTGGGCCTCTGCTCTGGAAACCAACCCCGCCCCTCAACCTTCTTCCCAAGCAGGGAGACCCCGCATTGCTTCCCAGCCTGGGAGGACCCCTGGGATCATGGATGGAGGACAGGGTTATGGGGTGGAGAGGGTGGAAGGCAGGCCAGCCCAGCATAGGAGGGATCCTCCGGCTGCCCTTCTGGTTTGTCTCTGGATTCCGTCCCTGCAGGCAGAGGAAGAAGAGCCTTCTGGTGGCCGTGGACCGAGCCTGCCCAGAAAGTGGTACCTCCAGAGGGTCTGGGTCGGTGGGCTGTTTGCTTTGTAGTTTGGTGGGGATAGTGGTGGATGGTTCCCTTGGGGGTTGGAGGAGGAAGGTCCCACTGAGGGCTTCTGGATGTTCAGATAGGGAGTAACACTGTAGGTGGAAATGGGGCTGGGGCAGTGTGCCTGTTGGTCCCTAATGTGTCTGTCTTAAAGACTGTCACTTGATTCATTCAGTGTCTGAGTCTAGGTACGCTGTCTGCCGCTTCAGAGAATGCGACTCACCGTCTCTGGGATTATTAACCTTTCGTTCTCTTTCCCCTTCTTCTACCCCTCTCTCTCTATCCTCCCTCCTGCTTGGGACCTTCTTTCTCAGCTTCTCTCCTTGGTAAGCTCCAGGTGCTGTGGGCGGAGGAGCTGGAGTCCAGAGTGGGGAGGGGGAGGGGAAGTAGAGGGGTGTCTGGGTGGGACCCGGGCAGGCTGATGCTGGTCTGTCCTTGCTGCTGGTAACTTAGATGGTCAATTCCTTGACTTTGCTGTCTTTCTAGGGAGGAAAGAGGAGGCTGAGAGTTTCCAATGGGGCAGGTGGTGGTGGTGGGATAGGTGTTTGCTGGTATAGGTTCTTATTCTTTGCTGCCGCCATGGCCCCTCTGTGTCTCTCTTTGGATTCTTCCTTCCCCCTTCTCCCTGGCTTGCAGCCTCTCTCTGCTTCCAAGGCTAAGGGGTCCTTGACTTCTTTCTTTCTTTTTCTTTTTTTTTTTATGACTCATAAATTATAGTTTATTGAATTTTTAGAAACAGAATAATTAAGCATTGCAAATTTGTTTTAACATTTCTGTTGAAAAACCTTTAAAGTGTATTACATACATACTTTAATAACCACAATATACTCTATGATATTTAATTTTTCATGGTAACAGAGGGCTTTGAATATTAATCAGTATGCTAAATACTGAACTACTGTAATATGTGCAAGAGATTTCCTGGTACATCATTCTCATTTTAGCCCGGTAGCACCCTGCAGGTGAGGAAGGTCATGTAAGGGGTCCCTGACTTCTTGTTGCAGGTCACCCTCGGGTCCTGGCTGATTCCTTCCCTGGCAGCTCCCCGTACGAGGGCTACAACTACGGCTCCTTTGGTACGCGTCCGCACTTGAGCTCATGCTTGCCCACTCGCCGGGCCACCACCTCCAGGGTGGCCTCCTCGGCGCCCCCTGGAGACGGGTCCAGAGTCCCCTGCCCTGAGGTCTCTTCTGCCTGCCTCACCATTTACTATTCCCTACAGAGAATGGTTCCGGTTCCACTGGATCCACCGACGGTCTGGTTGGCAGCGCGGGCCCTGGGGACCTCTCCTACAATTACCAGGGTGAGTGGGCCAGGCGGGGCAGAGCTGTGCGGTGCAGGGCTGGTGCTGGCTGCATGAACCGTGACGGTGGGCAGTTGCCTCTTCTGCCAGACGCTGGAACCAGGGAAGGGCTTGCTGTCTCCCCACCCCTCTCCTCCTTCATCCCTTTCTCCTTGGTCCCACTTCCCCGGTAACTTTCCCTTTCCTTTGAAGGGCACGACCAGTTCAAGCGGCGCCTCCCCTTTGGCCAGATGCGGCAGCTGTGCATTGCCATGGGTAGATGTGGGGAGGGCGAGTGCTGCTCTACCAATCAGCTCCTGCCAGGGCGGTTGACTGGAGCCAGAAGGCTCTAGGACCAGAAAGATGCTTTGTGCATGGCTTCCCCATCTAATGCCCATCTAATGCCAATAGCTCGTGTGTCTTTTGAGATAGGCAGGCACTGGCCCCTGATGCTGGCAAGCTGGCACCCCAGCCTCCCCCAGGCCAGATATTCTGGTTGGCTGTTGTGTTTCCCAGCACCTCACTCTCTGGCCTTTTGGGGCTCATGGGCCGGGGTGTCATGTCCTGGCCCCAGGGGCCTTTGGTCAGCAAGGTTACAGGAGGAAGCTTCCGAAGGCACAAGAAAAGAACAGGATAAAGGATTAGAGAGGAGGCAGCCTCTTACCCTTGCCTGCACCCCAGGGCCCACTGGGTCTTTACCCAGTGGGGGCCAAGGCAGTGTCTTCTCAGAACCCACACAGCTGGGCATCTTCTAATCAGCGTGACTTCTGCCAAATTCAGTCCTGCTGCTCATGTCTGGGGCCCGGGGTCTGCTCAGTGTCCTGGCCTGGAAGCCTAGCTCAGTGAGGTGGCAGGGCTGGAGCGGTCCCTGTTTGGTGGCCTCTTCGCAGAGTCCACCCTTGTTGCCCTCAAGGACTTAGGAGCACCCGATACCTCCTCCCCAGGCCTGAGCCCACCTCTAACCCCGCTCTGAGCCCACAGTTTGCCTCTTCCCACTGCCTAGTAATTGTGACAATTGTCCCAGGTGGGTGGGGACAGACCTTGGGTTCTGTGCCCACTAGGTTACCCTTCTCCCCTTTCTGCCCCAGACCATTCCCTTGATCCTGTGGGCACCCGGCCACGACTGGACTCCATGAGCTCTGTGGAGGAGGACGACTATGACACATTGGCCGACATCGATTCAGACAAGAATGTCATTCGCACCAAGGTGTGACCCCACGTGGGTTGGCCCTGGTCACGGGTTCCCAATGAAGGGAGATTGTGTGTTCAGCCCCAGCGTATCTCCCCACTGGGTGGCATGTTATGAAAGCAAAGGGAAGGAGCTTGGCTGGGGTGGCACAGATTCCAGGGGAAATTGACTCGGCTCCCAGCCCTCTGGACTGCCCAGAACCCGGCCCGCTGGAATTCTGGCCTGTGGGAGGGAGGCCCCCCCATGTCCTCCTCTAACCTGGGCGAGAGGGGCTTCTCTGGGGCAGTGGGGCAGGGGGCTCACTCCAGCTTCTCCCCAGCAATACCTCTGCGTGGCTGACCTGGCACGCAAGGACAAACGCGTCCTGCGGAAAAAGTACCAGATCTACTTCTGGTGAGTGGGCGGAGCAGGCCGGCCTTCCTGTCATTGGCAGGACAGTGCGGTGGGTTCTCGGGTTCTTCCTCGGTGCTGCCACCTCACCGCCACCCTCCCACTCCTCAGGAACATTGCCACCATTGCTGTCTTCTATGCACTTCCTGTGGTGCAGCTGGTGATCACCTACCAGACGGTGAGCGGGCAGGGGCCGGCTCCCCAGGGCCCATGCTAAATGCCCTCGAGGAGCTGCCACAGGCTGGGACAATGCCCCAGTGCAGAGCCTTCCAGCCTGCGGCTTTGGAGCCAGCACAGGTCCTAGGTCATGGGTCCCGGGTTCCCATCCCAACTCTGCCTTACCATCTGGGTGGCCTTGAGCAAGTCACTCAACCTCCCTGAGCCTCAGTCGGTTCATCTGCAAAATGGGGGCAGCATGCCAGCAATGGTGGCACCTCCCCCAGGTCATGGGGATTTATGAAACGAAAGTGCTGGGACTTTGTAAGTCTCGGTTTCCCTTCCCTCTTCTCTGTACTGTGGGGCAAGAACCTCCGTCATGGTCATGCCTCAGGGTTTTCAGCCACACCTAGCGAGGGGGGCAGTGACTTTACCAAAAATGGGGCTTGCTGGTGTCAAGTGCACACATGTGCTGGCCGTGGCGGCACCTCCCATCCGTTGCAGAACGTGACTGGTGGTGGCGCAGGCTGTGGACTGAGGCACTTTAGCAGTGCCCCCTCCCTGCTCCCGCTGCAGGTGGTGAATGTCACAGGGAACCAGGACATCTGCTACTACAACTTCCTCTGCGCCCACCCTCTAGGCAACCTCAGGTGGGGATCCACTTGGGAGGAGGCCCCTTTTCCCGTCGTACGGTGAACCAGGGCAGGGGCAGGGGCTCTGCAAATGCCCGCCTCGGGTGGGGAAGTGGCCAGGGCATGAGGCTGAGGCAACGTGCCCGCTGTCGCCCCTTCCAGCGCTTTCAACAACATCCTCAGCAACCTGGGGTACATCCTGCTGGGGCTGCTCTTCCTGCTGGTCATCCTGCAGCGGGAGATCAACCACAACCGGGCCCTGCTGCGCAACGACCTCTACGCCCTGGTGAGGAGCGCTCGCCTGCCCGCTGACGCCTCAGACCCTTCCTAGCAGGCGGGGCCCTGCCCAGCCCTGCACAGCCCTGCCCAGCCCTGCCCTGCCCAGCCCTGCCCTGCCCTGCCCTGCCCTGCCCAGCCCAGCCCTGCCCAGCCCAGCCCAGCCCAGCCCTGCCCTGCCCAGCCCTGCCCAGCCCTGCCCTGCCCTGCCCAGCCCAGCCCAGCCCAGCCCAGCCCTGCCCAGCCCTGCCCAGCCCAGCCCAGCCCTGCCCAGCCCTGTCCAGTCTTATCCTGCCCAGCTTTGTTGTGCCCAGCCCTGCCCGGCCCTGCCCTTGCTAAATACCCACTCTACCCCCCATCCCACTCCTTTCTCATGATCTCCCTCTTTAGGGCCCCTTCCTTCCTCCCTTCCCGCCTTACCTCATCTCTCCCTTCCCTTCTCTCTCCGCAACAGGAATGTGGGATCCCCAAACACTTTGGCCTCTTCTATGCCATGGGCACGGCCCTGATGATGGAGGGGCTACTTAGCGCTTGCTATCACGTCTGCCCCAACTATACCAATTTCCAGTTTGGTGAGCGGGGCCTCCCTCTTCCCTGGCTGAACCTCAACAGGAATCTGCCTGAGTCTGCCATCCCCATTCACCCGCAGGGATTGGGATCCCCAAGATACAGCCATGTGGGCGACTCCAGGGCTGGAGGACCTGTGTGAACACGCATCCTAGCTTGTAGAAAATAAGCGTCTGGATGCTATTTCATGCATCTCTCAAGCCTCTCCTATGGAAAGGCACGTGCACGCACTGAGAAAACAAAGATAATTCAGATGCAGTCCCCGATCTCAGAGTGCTCGGACTAAGTTGTCATTGTCGTCAGGGGAAGTCAGACTGTGGGTGACAGCCAGTGGGGCGGCAGTGGGGCGTGGCAGGGACAGTTAAGGAGCTGCAGTTCAAGCGCCAGCCCGCCTCCAGCTTTGCTCAGTGGCTGTGACGAGGTGTGGGGACCGGGCTTCCGTGCCCGGGCTCCGCAGACGTTTCCGTAGCTCACGTCCACGTCCCTCCACCTAGACACGTCATTCATGTACATGATCGCGGGGCTCTGCATGCTGAAGCTGTACCAGAAGCGGCACCCAGACATCAACGCCAGTGCCTACAGCGCCTATGCCTGCTTGGCCATCGTCATTTTCTTCTCTGTGCTGGGCGTGGTGAGGCCCCGGCCTGCTCTGCTCACCCGTAGGAAAGGTGCACACGTGTGCACACACCCCCGTCCACCCCTGCAGGAGAGAGCCCTGCTCCTTCCCTAAAGTGCCCTCCCAGCCTGGTGGGCTTAGAGCCGGCTCTCCCAGAGGAAGGGCGGGCCGGGAGAGCAGCTTTCTCCTCAGCCCTGCCTTTGGTGGCCCCAACAGGTCTTCGGCAAAGGGAACACAGCATTCTGGGTCATCTTCTCGGTCATTCACATCATTGCCACCCTGCTCCTCAGCACACAGCTCTATTACATGGGCCGCTGGAAGCTGGGTGAGCGCTCGCCTGGGGCCTGCTGGGGTTGGTGGCCTCGGGGACCTGTTCTCACGGGAGACTTTTGGGTTCTGCCCTCTCACAGGGGGCCCAGGGGAGTCACTGGGTACGGAATTCAATGAGGCCTTGGCACAGCTGTGCCCCCGAGAGGCCCTGGGTCCTCTCAGCTGGCACAGACCAGGGGCCGGGACAAAAGGGTGCCCGTGCCTTTCAGCACCTTCCCTTCTTATAGACTCGGGGATCTGCCGTCGCATTCTCCACGTGCTCTACACGGACTGCATCCGGCAGTGCAGCGGGCCCCTCTACGTGGTACCTGCCCAGCTCCCCGGGCCCCTCCTCCTCTATCTCCACTCTTCCTCTTCCCTCCACTGGGGGGCACTCGGAGCGCAGCTGAGAGTCCAGGGGCGGGGTGGGGACCCTCTGATGGGCCTCCCTCCACTTCTCTCCCTGTCTCTCAGTTCCCCTGTCTCTGCTTCCCTCCAGGACCGCATGGTGCTGCTGGTTATGGGCAACATTATCAACTGGTCACTGTGAGTCCGGCCATCATCTGTGTAGCCAGGCTGGGTGGGCAGCTCGGTGCTTGGCCAGCCATGGGCTTCCGTGGGGAACATGGACAAATTTGGGCATGAGACATGGGGGCTGGAGAGAGAGGTGTCGGCCCCTGGGGTTCTAGAATCTTCTGTGGGCCTCTGAACCCAGCCCCACATCCTCATAAGACATGGGTTGGTGGGGAGGGAGAGCCCTTTCCTTGCTCCTCCCCTGCTTCACCAGCTCTTCCTCCCTCCTGCCAGGGCTGCCTATGGGCTCATCATGCGTCCCAATGATTTTGCCTCCTACTTGTTGGCCATTGGCATCTGCAACCTGCTTCTTTACTTTGCCTTCTACATCATTATGAAGGTGAGCGGGGATGGCTGAGCCCCTCAGCCAGCTGCTCTGCCTTGTGGGGAGGGAGATGGGCACAGCCTCCCTGGGGCAGCACCAAGAGGGAGTGAGAATTTTTCTGTCCACCTCTCCAGGCTACTGAGTCTTGAGGAGGGGAGAGGCTAGTCTCTTGCACGTACTCCCCGGGAGCCAGCTATATCCTCAGACCCGTTTCCTGAGCCCCTTCTGTATTCTAAGTATGGCCCGTAGAACTGGTAGCACTTGAGGCCACAGCTGGCAAGAGCCCCGTTCTGTGGAGAAGGGGTTGAGGAGGTGGGGCTTGCTGAGTGTGTGTTGGGCTTGGGCCTCCGAGGGCTAGGTGCTTCCCAAGGGCCCCTCGTGCCATCCAACGTGAGAGGAGCCCCCAGGCCATACACCCCCCAGCACAGGGTTCTGGGCACATGGATGGAGGCCCAGCCAGGGTGGACCTCAGGGGTGAGGACACCAGGCTGCTAGTGTGGGGACAAGTTGAGCTGTGTAGGGTGATGGGATGGATCCAGGAAGGCTTCCTAAAGCATCCATCCTGAAAGCCTGGGACGGCGCTTCAAGGGCAGGCCAGGAAGTGGGGCAGGGCCCTCAGGCTGCTTTTCCCCATCTTCCCCCCAGCTCCGGAGCGGGGAGAGGATCAAGCTCATTCCCCTGCTCTGTATCATCTGCACCTCGGTGGTCTGGGGCTTTGCACTCTTCTTCTTCTTCCAGGGGCTCAGCACCTGGCAGGTGAGTGGTCCTCCTGCCAAGAGGCTACGGGAGTCGCCCACAGGCTCATCGTGAGCCCACAAACGGCCAGTTCTCTTTTCAAAAATTGTTTGTGAGCATCGCCCGTGCTTTTCACAGCTGCTTTCTCATTTCGTCCTCCTACCGTTCACCATGCCAGCGTGGAAGTATCCCCATTTTACTTATGAGGCAGTTGAGGCTCAGACAGACCCAGTGACCTGCCCAAGGTCACACAACCAGTGGTGGCACAGCTGAGGTTTGAAGCCAGAGGTGTCAGGCTCTTCCCTCTGCCTCGTAGGGCACCTGCTGTGATCAGAACGAAGTCTGGCCGCGTCTCTGCCTTTGAAGCACTTATAATCTAGTTCCAGAAAGAGAGAGACTGTCAGTTCCTGGCTTTTCTTTACAATATGGTACATGAGATGAAGGGTAATAGACTAGACAGGTAGGGGATGTGTAGGAGGGCAGAGGACAGAAAGGCTTCTGTGAGCTAGGAGGTCCAGGAAAGCTGCTTAGAGGAGGCAGGGCTTGCTCTTGGCCTTTAGAGACCCTGGCTGATGGGGAAGGGCCCTGTGGCCCAGAGGTGCCGTGACTTGAGTAACGAGGCAGAGGCAGCTTAGGGGTCAGTGACTGCATTCGCTTGGGAGCTGGGTAAAGACCGTGAGCTCCTTGAGGGCGCTGCGGAGCTTTCCTGGTCATCTCTGTGGTCTCAGCATATGGCACAGACGGCCCCCAGACACAGAGTGAGGTCCAGCCAGTGTTTGCTGGACGGAGGTTGGGGAGATAATGGTGGACCTCGAGGGCCTCGGGTCATGGCCCACAGGTCCTGGCTACTGTCACCCTCGGGCGGGGCTGTGTGAGCTGACAATAGTGCTTTGGAGAGAAAGTGAGCCGGGAGGAGCCCTGGAGGACTGATTGGAGCCGGGGGCGGAGTCCAAGGCAGGGAACGGAGTTAGGAGGCTTTGGTGGCCTTCTGGTCCTTCAAGGGAATCATGACCAGTGCTCTCAGGGAGCAATCTGCAACTAAAGGCCAATTCTTAGATGTGGGAGATGAGGGCAAGGGGTGAGCCTCAAAAAGGGTGCTCTCCATGGGCTTCCCTGGTGGCGCAGTGGTTGAGAGTCCGCCTGCCGATGCAGGGGACACGGGTTCGTGCCCCGGTCCGGGAAGATCCCACATGCCGCGGAGCGGCTGGGCCCGTGAGCCATGGCCGCTGAGCTTGCACGTCCGGAGCCTGTGCCCGACACCGGGAGGGGCCAAAACAGGGAGAGGGGGGGGTACCAAAAAAAAAAAAAAAAAAAAAAAAAGGTGCTCTCCAGCCTAGGACTGGGGCTGGGAACAGAGAGTGCCTGGAGGGGATGGGAGCTGGTCTGGCCCAGCCTCCCCTGGGCGGTGTCAGCAGGCAGCTCTCCCTGTTCCACCCCAGAAAACCCCTGCAGAGTCACGGGAGCACAACCGGGACTGCATCCTCCTCGACTTCTTTGATGACCACGACATCTGGCACTTCCTCTCCTCCATCGCCATGTTTGGGTCATTCCTGGTATGTCGGGGAGGCTGGAGAGGAGGCGGAGGTGGCCTCCTTTCCTGGGCTTGACTCCGCATCCGCCCTCCAGGTGTTGCTGACACTGGACGACGACCTGGACACAGTGCAGCGGGACAAGATCTACGTCTTCTAGTGGGAGCCGGGCCCCTTGCTTCTCTCACTGGGCCCTTAGCTCCTCTGCCGCACTGCCCAGAGCCTCCGTAGTGCCAGGGGCGTGAGTCCCAGCCCTGCTGCCCAGTGCCAGGTGGCCATGGGACAGCGAGGTCCAGCCCAGGCTTGGCCTGGGACAGTCACAGGGTGGCCTTGAGCCTTGTTCCTGCCCTCTGCTGGGGAGGAGGCCTGCTCCCCTGAAACCCTGGATGTTGGCCAAATTGCTGTTTTCTTCTCAGTATTGGGGCCCTCCACAGGTCCCCGTCCGTCAGCTCTCTGTTTGTCATCTGCAGAAGAAAGGAGGGAAGTGTTGCCTGCCCATCTCATGCCTTGCCATTCTGCCCACCCTTCCCCTCCCCCCTGGCCTGGGACCCAAAGCCCTTTCTTCTTCCCCGAGCTTCCACTCCAGGGCCCTGGTCTGGGGCCTGATTCTCTGTCCTGCACCAGGGTTCTCTCCACTACTCCTGGGTCTGCACCTGGCTGCCATCACTGCCCACTCAGCTCAGCCAGGATGGATGGGGCTGTCGGATTTTGGGGACCGGCCAGCTGGTGCTGGGCTTTTGGTGCTAAGGCCTGCGAGGGGTCCCAGGCAGTGCTGCCTCCTACCTCTGACCTGTGCTCAGGGCTGGCTCTTTAGCAACGAGCGTCAGCCCACATTGTCAGAACCACCTTTGATCGAAGGACTGAATTCAGAGGTCACTTTCGTATCCCGTCAGCTCCCAGACTGATGTTGGCACCAGGATTGGAGGGAAAAAGCAACTCACTTTCCTTCCCTTCCTTTTTCTTTCCAGGCCCTTAGTCCTGCCAAGCCCCAGTTGGGGGCCTTTCAGTGCCATTGACCCTGCCCAAGAATGTCCAGAGGCGAAGGAGGGGAGATACAAAGAGCCCAGCCCGGCCCGCCTCCTCCACGGCCACGGGAGCCCCAGTGCCTATCTTAGAAAGGGGCTCAGGGAAGGGACATGACATTCCCCTCTATGTCCCTGGTCCAGCCTCACTCTAGGACCCAGGGCTGGCTTCTAAGTTTCCGTCCAGTCTTCAGCCAAGTTCTGTGTCAGTTGCACACATGCACACATATGAAATCTTGGAGTTTACACTGAGTTGCCCCAGCTCTGGTTCCCCTGGCTGCTCTGCGCCTTGGATCCTCTTCGCCCTACCTGGTCTGTTCTAGATGCCAAGGTCGGGGGAGGTCAGGTCGGGCCTCTGCCTTGGGGATGGGAATGTGTTTTATTCTCCTCAGTTTGTTTTTATAGCTCTCCTTTGGGCTGGGGAGAGGAGGAGGGAGGGTCTGGATCTTTTTTCAGAGCTCCGTTTAATGTCTGTTTCCATGCTATGGTTGCATTTCTGTTTTCTATGAATGAGTCTGCATTCAATTAAAGAAACAACCAGATGCAGTTCTTGGGCCCATCTTTGCTCCCTCTTTCTGGGTGAAGATGTTGAGAATGATGGGTGGGGCAGGGCGCCCCCATTTCCCAGGTCTTCTGGTCTACCTTTCTCTTCCAAGCCCCAGTCCCATCGGGAATAGCAGTCCCTCGATGCCCTCACGTTTTTTTTCTCTCCTTTGAGCAACAGCATCAATTCAGTCAACATTTACCAGGGGCCTGCTCCATGCCAGGTGCCATGAGGGTGAAGAGGATAGCGTAGTGAAAAAGGCTTAGCTGTGCCATCTCACCTCCGAGAGTCTCCCCTTACCTGGCAAATGGCAGCAGCCTCTGCCCACCTGGTCCCCACCCACCAGTCAGACGAGCTTCACTTCTGATCTGAGCCTCTCCCAGCTCGGCGGGCTGCAGGCCGCAGGCACAGGCAGTACTCCCTGACCTGCTTTAATGGACAGGTGGTACTCTGGAAACACCAGATGGTGATGGATGGTGGGAGAGTGGGCATGTGGATGACATGCAGGCTCCAAGAGGAAGGAGATTTGAAATGACCCTGGAAGGTTGATTTAGATTTCCGCAGGCTAAGGAGGACAAGATGGGGAGCGGCTGGGGGTGGCAGGGGGCGGGTAGCGGGGAAGCTGGTGAATTCAGGACACAACCGGAGGTCTGGGCTCCTCTCTAGCCGATCCCCAGCTCCTCTCCATGCTCTTCCCCGCAGATGCCACTAGGGGGCAATATAGCTCTTCGCGCCACTAGGCTCTGGCGTCGGGAGCTGGCTGTGGTGGGCAGACCCTCCCTAGACTGCCTGGCCCGGCTGTCCCTCTCCTGGTGGTGCCGGGTGTGTGGTGGAGAGTGTTAGTCCCTACCTGCCAGGCTGCCCTAGGATGGGGTGGTGCCACAGCAGGCAGGCCAGAGACCCCACTGGAGGCCTCTCACCTTTCTTCACTTCCTATCCGTTCCCGATACCCCACCACCACCCCCGAAGCAAGATTTGAGCAGGTCTCCTTCCTGGGTGATGGGGCCCAGTCTGTTTTCCAGGGTAGGTAGGGACTGTTTAAAAGGGAGGGAGGGATGATAGCAGCCTCTGAACCTCCTACCCCAGTGTTGGTGTCTCAGGCCCTAGAGACCCCCTGGATGGGGCCAGGGTCAACTGAGCTGTTGCTGAACCCTCAAATCCCACCCCCAGCTAAAGCGTGGAACTCAAGACCCACCCCAACTGTAAACTCTCAACCTGAGCAGGGGGCGGGGTGTGGTCGGCAGGGATGCCCAGGTTCTGCCACTCAAGACTTACCACGTGACCTTGGGTAAGATGCACTCCGAGCCCTTGTTTCCTCATTTGTAAAATGGGATAGTAATTTCGCTGTCACGATGCAGCTGTGAGTATGAAACGAGCGGATGTGCAAAGTGCCCGGTATGTAGCCCGTCCTCAGTAAAGGTGAGTTCCTATCTCCCACTGGAGCCAAAAGCCCCTGGAGGAGAGCGTGGCTGCTTAGTCCCCCACAAACCTCAGGGAGGGGGGCCCCTAGCCTCTTTCCTCTTTCCCTGGACGGCCCCCTCTTGAATTTCCCCCTCCCCTCAAACTTGGAGGCAGGAAACAGTGTTGAAGGAGCAGCCGTAAGTCCAGACAGCAGGGAAAGCCTTCACGGTCCTGTCCATAAAAGGCTTTTCCCGGCTGTTACCCGCCGGCAGCGCGGCTCCGCCCCCGCCCGCTCCATCTCCAAAGCACGCAGAGAATGTCTCAGGCAGCCCCCGGTAGACTGCTCCAACTTGGTGTCTTTCCCCAAATATGGAGCCTGTGCGGAGTCACTGGGGGGGCTGGGGGTGGAGAAGGAGCCAGTTTCCTCTAGCAGGGAGGGGACCGGGGTGAGCCAGCAGCGGGGAGGCTGACATCACCGCGGTGGCAGCCCTTTAAACCCCTCACCCAGCCAGCGTCCCGTCCTGTCTCTCCAAGTCCAGACAGAGCTCACTCCTTCCTGCGAGCACCAAGGAACGCCTGTAAGTACATCTGTCCCAGGGATGGAGGGGAGTTGGGCTGGGGCTTGGCAGTAGCGGTGGGTGTATCGCTGGCAAGGCCTCGGGTGCCCTGCCTGGGGCAGCCCACCCTCTTCCAGCACGCATTCCTAATCTCCACCTGCGGAGCTGGTCCTAGCTTGATGGGTGGGATGGGGTTGCCGGAGTCCCGTATCTCTTAGACTGGGCAGCCTTGGGCTCACTGAAATGCCCAGGGAGACTTGGTTGGTGCAGAGGGATTGATGGTGGAAACTTGGGAACTGGGGTGAGGGAGGCTCCCCATTTTCAACCATAGTCACACCCACGGGGGTGTGATAGGCTCCAGGTGGTGTTGGTTTAGACCCAGGTCTTGTAGTCTGCTATCTACCTGGGAGGATGTCCGAGGAGGTGAAGAGGCGCGTGGTACACCGGGGCTGGAGAGCAGTGTCCCACGGGTGGGTCCCCAGGTCCTGAGCAGCATCAGAGAGCCCCTGGGTAGCCACTGCGGCAGTGGGCAGGACCACAAGACTCGTCTTCTGGAACAGGCTGGGGTGGCAGGGTGCAGGGCCAGTGAGAGAGCTGCCTTTCCAGGCACACAGCTCCCTCCATACTCTGAGTGGGAGCCCCCACCCCACCCCCGGGCAGAGGAGTGGGGCTGAGCACCGCCAGGAGCTTTGGAATGATAGCCTGGGTGGTGCAGGCAGGGCCAGGCAGGGCCTTCCCCAAGGGTCTGGCTGCTTCCCGTCAGTGGTGGCTCTTCAAAGGGCAGCAGTGAGTCGGAAAGGTCTCCTCTGTCCCCAGAATTCAGATGAGCCACCCCTCCTGCCTTCTCAGATGCACGTGTGCTCATCCTACATGCTGTGTTTTATTCTGAAGAGAGAGGGGCACAGCAGTCCCGCAGAGACCCCTGGTTCTGCCAGTTTTTCTGGGTTCCTGCTGGTAGGAGGTGCCAGCTTTGCAGTTGGACTTGTATTTTTCTCAGGGGAGGGGAGGCTGATGGAGCCGCAGGCTAGGAGGGTCAAAGCAGAGCCTCAGGCTGCCCTGTCCATCCTGTCCCAGGAGGCTTTGCCTAGAAAGGCCCCTGGGTGGGCCGCCCTGCCGCCCTCGCCCTCACCCTCTCCTCACCCCTCCCCTCCCCAGCAGCTCCAAGGTGGGCCTGGGGAGGGCTTTGTCAGAGGACTTTGAGGGATTCATGGAACCCTCCACTTTCAGACTCTACCAGGAGGGAGGCGGGGGTGCTTTTCATCCCCCTTCTTTGTTCTGATCAAAACCCAAATGTTGTCTCTGGATCTAGGGGCCACAACTTTGTGTACTTGTCACTGTGAGCCTTGACACCTTGACTGTCCTGAATCTCCTGAGACCGGAAGCTAGGGGTGGGGGACACACTGCTGGCACCCTGTTCCTCACGGGCCCAGCGCGAGGTCTGGGAGGGGAAGGCAGATGGGAGGGGAGGTGGGGAGGGGAAGGCAGATGGGAGCGGAGGTGGGGAGGGGAAGGCAAGAAGGTCTGAGCATGGAAGGTGGGGAGGGTGGTGGTGCCTGGACCACAGGGATTGCACCTTGGCTGCCTGGGATGGGACGGTGAAGGCTGAGATGAGGAGGGAGGGTGGGAGGCCAAGACGAAGGATGGCCTGGTCCCAGCTGCTTGTGTATTTTGACCACAGTTCTTCACCCAGGAGTCCTCAGGAGGTTGGGAAGCAGGGATGAGACACACATCGGGGTGGGGAAGGGAGGGACTTGGCCTTTGAATTCTTTGGCCCTCACTTTACAAATAAGGAAACAGACTCAGAGAGAAGTGAGTTGCTGCCCAGTGGCTGGAATTTAGAGAAGCCCTTCTTCTTCTTTTTTTTTTTTTTTGCGGTACGCGGGCCTCTCACTGTTGTGGCCTCTCCCGTTGTGGAGCACAGGCTCCGGACGCTCAGGCTCAGCGGCCATGGCTCACGGGCCTAGCCGCTCCGCGGCATGTGGGATCTTCCTGGACCAGGGCACAAACCCATGTCCCCTGCATCGGCAGGCCGACTCTCAACCACTGTGCCACCAAGGAAGCCCCCTTCTTCTGTTCTTCCTCTCAAATTTCCTTGTCCCCTCAGGGAATGATTTTGAACAGGGGTGGAGGCTGCAGCCGGAAGAACACTTACTGTTTTTCACCACTTGGTCAGGGGCTGGCTTTCCCAGGTCGCTACCAGGAGACCAGCTCTGGGGACAAAGGACTGACATTCTGAGGAGCTCCGCTGAGGGGCAGGCAGTGTGTTCGGTAGCCACAGACAGGGCCTCATGGAATGTTCCCAGCCCTCTGGGGTAGATAACGTTATCCTCACCGCAGAGACGGGGCATTCGAGCTCAGAGGAGTTGTCGGTTGTAGGGAAAGAAGGGCCGGGCAAGTGCAGTTTGGCGGCTGAGCTGGGCCCATGTGAAGCGATGATGTTCACTGCCTCCCATGGGGGTGGGTGGGGAGAGGGACTCAGCTCTGATAAGACAGGGAGTTGAGGAAACGCGCTGACTACCTCCATCCGCAGACCATTCTCTCCTCCCAACCTCCGACCTCTCTGAGGGCCAGGGGATGGTTTGGCCTCATTCGGTTCCTCTTCGAAGGGTGAACTCTGGCACCACCCCAGGCTGATACCTGAGGCAGGTCAGGTTCCTCCTGGCCGGCCACATGCCGGTCTGCCCAGCGGCCTGCCTGCCTGGCCCCGCTCCGGCAGCCTCCCCTCCCTTTGTAGGGCTCTCCTAAGCGAGGCCAGCCCCAGGCCCTAAGGCAGTAGCTGCTGCTGGTCTGGACGGGGAGGGCTTCCCATGCTCTGGTTGGCAGATTCTTGGCTTACGTCCCTGGAGAACTCTGGCTTCCTGGTTACTCAGGCTCCCACCGTGGTGAGAGCCTGAGGGCACGAGGGCCAGCCGGTGGGTATGCCAGCTCGCAGCCCTCTCTCATCTGGCTCCCCGGGGAAGTGCAGTTTCTTGGCCCAAAGCTCTTGGCCTTTGCTGGTTTCCTAGCCCTTTCCAGGGGTGGGTAAGCTTCGGCCTCTGTAGCTGCAGGCAGGAGGCTGAGCTGAGCTGGTGGAGAGCCTGAGTGCTGGAGTTCCCACTTCTGGTAGAAGTGAGAGCTGGAGATACCTCCATAACTTCGGGCCGAGCCGCCAAACCGCCTCACTGGACAAAGACATCTGCTGGCTTTCTTTTGAGGGGCAATGTGACCTCTTCCGAAAGGCCTCTGCAGTGCCTCCATGGTCAATCTTGGCAAAGAAAGAATGCTCTAGACCAGGGGTTATCAAACCCATGGGCTAAGTACAGCCTGCCATCTGTTCGTGTAAATAAAGTTTTATTGGAACAGAGCCATGCTCACTTGTTTACACACTGCCTAAAGCTGCTTTGGTGCTACAGTGGCAGGGACCTTATGGCCTGCAAAGCCTAAAATATGACCGTCAGTAAAATGACTGTCTGGTTATTTACCAAAAAAGTTTACTAACTCCTGCTCTAGACTGCCAAAGATCTGGCCTCCAAGTTCAGAGAGGCTCCGTGGACTGAGGGGACGAGCTGGCCCAGGTGAGCAGTGCCATGGAAACAAAACCAGGAAGCAAGGGGAGGTAGATAACCGGCTAGGGTGGTTGCCCAACACAGAGCTGGAAGACCTGCCTGGCACCAGGGACAGAAGAGCTGTTCTCTGAGCCTCTCCCTCCTCCGGCTTGTGCTGCTTTAGCTCCCCGCTAACATGGCCAACAAGGGTCCTTCCTACGGCATGAGCCGTGAAGTGCAATCCAAAATCGAGAAGAAGTACGACGAGGAGCTAGAGGAGCGGCTGGTGGAGTGGATCATAGCGCAGTGTGGCCCCGACGTGGGGCGCCCGGACCGTGGGCGTGTGGGCTTCCAGGTCTGGCTGAAGAATGGCGTGGTGAGTGGCACCCGGGGCAGGGGGGCTGGGTCCATGCCATTCTGCCGGAGTTGTGGGGCAGAACCCCCAAACCGAGTGCCAAGCTACCTTCTACACCCGGCAGATTCTGAGCAAGCTGGTCAACAGCCTGTATCCGGATGGCTCCAAGCCGGTGAAGGTGCCTGAGAACCCGCCGTCCATGGTCTTCAAGCAGATGGAGCAGGTGGCTCAGTTCCTGAAGGCAGCTGAGGACTATGGTGTCACCAAGACTGACATGTTCCAGACTGTTGACCTCTTTGAAGGTACAGAGAGAAGAGGGGTGGAGGCAGGTGGGGGACAGGAGGGTGAGGCAGGGACGAGGGATGATCAAAACTGCCATGATGATGGCTCTGCATAGCAGGAGTGGGATACCCTGGGATCTACTGTGCCTCTTTCGATTTTAGGACCAACTCTGCCCCGGGTTGGCCAATTTTCTGAGAGGCGTGGGCAGGCTCTGCCTTGGAGTCCTGTTTACACAGTCCTGAAGATCATTTCCCCTCCCCTCTTTCTACTCACAGGCAAAGACCTGGCAGCGGTGCAGAGGACCCTGATGGCCCTGGGCAGCTTGGCAGTGACCAAGAATGATGGACACTACCGTGGAGATCCCAACTGGTTTATGAAGTATGCGCCACCAGGGTTTCCCTGCACCCTGAGCTTGGGTCTCTGCAGGAGACGGGCTAACCCTTTAGTACAGTGATTTGGGGAAGCAGATAGCCAGGAAGGTGTGAACTGAAAGTCTAGGATGGGGGGAAATGGGTCCCTAATACTTCTTGACTCCTCCCTTTCTACCCTCCTGTCTCAGCCAGTCTCCATAGCCTGTGCTGTGGGGCAAGCTAGATAAGGAAACGAGTGGTGAAATGGGGAGGGAATGGGATCGGCCTAGGAAGTAACACAGGAAACCAAAGATGGGTGGAAAACACACAGTCCTGGCAAGTCTTTGACCTGGTTCCTCCTCTCCTAGGAAAGCCCAGGAGCATAAGAGGGAATTCACAGAGAGCCAACTGCAGGAGGGAAAGCATGTCATCGGCCTACAGATGGGCAGCAACAGAGGGGCCTCTCAGGCTGGCATGACAGGCTACGGCCGACCTCGGCAGATCATCAGTTAGAGGTGGAGGGCCAGCCCCCGGCCCCGCCCTCGCCCAGCTCGCCGGCCGCAGCCCTCCCGCCTCGCCAGCCTCGCCAGCCTCACCCACACCCGTGTAGTTCCTTCAGCCCCGGCCAAGCTTCGAGGCTCCGTCACTGAGCAAAGGTGACTGCACTTGGGCAGCTCGCCCGCACCCCTCAGCCTCAGCCCAACTTCTGACCCCAAAGCACTGCTCCCCTGGCCCACCTCCCACCTTTCCGGCCAGCTCCACTGTCTCTCCATCCCGGGCCGAGCAGGGGAGACGCGGGCTGGCAGTGGCCTGGGTGTGGGCAAGTCCACTGTCCTCCTGGGAAGCTGATGCTCATAGAAGGAGACCCAGGCCAACCGCCCCCTTTTTTTTTGCTGGAATATTTTGGGGGTTGAAATTCAAAAGGAAAAAAAAAAATACATCAATCTTTTCTCAGGCCTGGCTGGGAGCGTCTGATTTGCCCCAGTCACTTCCGTTTTGGTTACAGGAAATCTGAGCAGGGAACAGGCCGGCAGCTCGGGTTTACGTGTGTTCCTGGCTGCCATCCTCTGAAGGACCCCTCGAGTTCCAGGATTTCAGGGGCTGGGAGAGGAGAGTGAATCTCGGGACTGAAGGGAACGAGCAGCAACTTGGAGACTTGCATTAGCTTTGGGGAGGCGGCAGAAAGGAGATGGGAAGGAGCAGAACTGTGAGGAAGGTTTTTATTTTGGAAAAGCTGTGCAGAAAAAATTCAACAAAATGTTGCTGTGAAAAGAGAAAACCAAATCTTAAGCGTTAAAAAAAAAAAAAAAAAAAATTCAAATCGACCAACTAGCTCAGAAGAGGGGAGGAGGCCAAGGATGGGAGGAAGAGTCACAGCCTGCCAGGCAGATGGCTGGCCTCCGGCAGGCACGGCCATTTCCCTGAGCACTTTGCAGAGGAAGACGGGTGGTCGCAGGGCTGCAGGGCCAGTGACTGATCCGACACCTGTCCCAGTCCTGCCACAGACTCCCCCAGGATGTGCCCTAGCCCTGCCAGGTGCGTCGTACCGATCCTTCAGGATGAAGGGTGGGCGTGATGGTGAGGGGGTCAGGGGTGTGTTCAAGGTCGGCTTCTGATCAGGGCTAATGGAGGCAGCTGCTTCCAGGGCATGTGTGCCGAGCTGAGGGTTGACTGCCATGCCCATATGCCAAGGTCCAAGGCTTAGGCTGGAAGGTGAGGGGGAGAGAGGAAAAGTCTGCTGTTTCTGGCCCCTGGGTCGTTAAAAGGACAGGCATGTCTGGGGCTCTTCCCAGCCTCCATCCCTAAGCCCTCTTCCCAAGTGACCCCAGTGATGTTTCTGCTGAGATGCTCTTCTGGCCATGTGTGGGTGAGGGTCCCTGTGCCCAACACCACTGGCCTGCCCTGGAGAAACAAGGATGGAGACCTGCCCAGCAGGGGCCCCAATCCCTTGTCCGAGACCTTCTCACCAAAAACTCCCGTTGGGTTGGAGGAAGGTTCCATGGCTGTTGCGAGACTGTAATCTGGCTCCGCTTGTACCTTCTGAAGGCCCTTGCCCTCCCTGAGTGTGGTCTTTAGCCAGAGGGTGCTCTTTAGGCCTCTGGTCCCAGGTGGAAGCATCGGGGCTGCCTTCTCCCCAGAGCTCCCGGGACTGCGGAGCAGCTTTCCAAGCTTCCCCAGTCTTAGGAAGTTAGAGCCTCTCCCATGTTGGCTGTCAGGCCCAAGGTCAGCAAATCTGCGCCTCCTTCCCCTGCAGCAGGTCTGGGGGCAGGTGCTGAGGGCAGTCCAGGGCACTCCTGCTCTGGGACAGGCTCCAGTCCCCTTGATCCAGCAGGTCTGGGGCGTGGAGCCCGGAGGTGGTGGGAGGGCCCTCGCTCTCCATCCCCACTCCACCTGGATCCTGGCTGCTGCAAAGGGGCACTGATTCCAGTTCTGTCCCCTCCTCCTTGGCTGTTCGGCTGCGCTGGGGCCGGTGGCGGGGTCCACTCCTACAGACTGGGTGAGAGGCCACATTCCTCTGGCTCAAGTATACTTCCAGCATGTAGTAAATGGTCCAGAAGACGGCGAAACAGCCTATCAGCACCAGGGTCTGGGGGAAAGTCAAACACCTGTGTAAGAGTGGTTTCCCAGAACAATGGGCTCAGAAACTCTCTCTCTTCCTAGGGGCTGCCTCTCCCACCCCAAACCACTCCCCCTGTTCCCCCCACACAAGGAATGCCCTGGAGAGTTAGCCTGTAGAGTGGGGACCTAGGTCTTCCCAACCCCTCACTCCCCAAGTCACCTTGAGTCTCCCACCAAGGACCACATCCCTCAGGACATTCCTGCCTGCCTGCAGCTTGGGTTTTGGCCCTCGTACCTTGAGGGTGTTAGGGGTGATGGTATAACCATCTTCCTCTGGGATTTTCAGCCCGGGAGGGCAGGGCAGCGTGAAGCCATCATGCAGGTATTTCCCACTCATGGCACTTTCTAGTAACCTGTGGAGAAGAAAGGAGACGAGGATGCCCTACTCAGCTTGGTTCCTCTACCGCCTGCCTCGCCCATCCTCCCACCTCACAACCAGACAGAGGGAAGCCCCATAGCAAACAGGGGAGGGCCACGCTGTGGGTTCCCAGGGAGGTGGCACTCCTTCAGTGGCCTTTTCCCTGACCCCGTGAGTCCCCCTCCCTCTGACATGTGTCTACGCCTACCTTTGTCTGTCCCTGATGTCTACTGGACTCCACACAGAGCCATATAGGGTCAGCTGCCATTGCCGGAGGATGCCGGCCTGGGACGTCTCATCTCCTAGAGCCGCAAGCAGGGCGGTCCGTGAGCCACGCCCCGCTGTTGGCCACACAGACAGCAGAGGCCCTGCCCACCCCGCCACCCAGAGGGACTCAGACCACATGAGTGGCCACAGTAGTTGTCTAACTCTGTCCCACTGACCCCAGCGTACTGCAGACGTGCCTCTCGGGGTGCCCTTAGGAATGGAAAGGCGGAGGTGAAAGGTGGCACTCCTAAGTGGAGAAGTTTTGCCTCTTTCATACATATTTTGGGGTTTCAGCTGGGATTTTTCTTGGGAAGGAAAAAAAAAAAAAAAGTCCAGCTAAATTAAAGGAAGGTTTGAAAACCACCAGTCTGGTGATGAACACTTAACTTGGCTGGAAGTTGGGAGGGTTGGGTTCAATTTCCAGTCCTCACTGAGATACTGTGTGACCTCACACAAGTCACTTCAAACCTCTGGGTGGGCCTCAGTTTTTTAAAAAAAAAAAAAAACGGTGAAAATTAGTCCTGCCCTTACCTGCCTACCAGGGCTGGCCGGAGGATGGTTATATGTGAAAGAACTTGAAATGTGGTTTCAACAAGGAATTTTTGTTGCTATCCTGAGGAAAAATGGATCAGTCACTTCTCCAAGGAATATGAGAGGTAGTATAAATGAACAATTCTAGGTATCAATGCCCATTTTTTTTGGGTGGGGCATACGTCTTGGCATCTACCCTCTTGGTCCGATGGCAACCCTATGTATTCCACCTGGGACAATTTCTGTGGGGACTCTGAGATCCAGAGGGACCAGATGACAATCACGAAAGGCAGGGCCCTGGTGGGGGGCAGGCAGGCTTACCTACATCCCTGACGACGAGTCTGTAGGTCCCTTTCGCTCTTTCCCCCCAGCACCGCACAGTGGAGAAGGTCCAATCATTGAAGCCATTGGGGTCCCTGGGGCAAGAACAGAGGAGACAGAGGAAGGCATGGAGCAGGGAACTGACCCCTTTGCCCCAAAGCATTTTCTTACTGTAGTAGCAGTTGTTGTCTGAGCTACAGCCATCGGGAGGGTGCCATGAAGGGCCCTCAAGTGCTGGCCCTTGCCCCTGGGATCTCAGGGGCTGAGGGACCTGTGTCAACGCAGTGTAGTGGAAAAAGCAAACGTGGAGAGAACACGGGCTTGGGAGTCCCATAGGTCTAGGCTTACTGCTATTCCCTCAGGCACTTAACTAGCTCTGTGACTTGTTTCCTCATTTGTAAAGGGTTACAAAGTCTACCCTGCATGGCCCTTACTAGGATTAAAGAAACTTGTGACCACCTAGAGGGGTGGGATAGGGAGGGTGGGAGGGAGGGAGACGCAAGAGGGAAGAGATATGGGAACATATGTATATGTATAACTGATTCACTTTGTTATAAAGCAGAAACGAACACACCATTGTAAAGCAATTATACTCTAATAAAGACGTAAAAAAAAAAAAGGAAAAGAAACTATATTTCAAGTGCGGTGCTGAGCACATTGTAAGCACTTGAACAAAGAAGGTAATAAAGCCAGTGCCACGGTAGCTAAGGACAGTGCCAGTGTCCACTCCTCCCATATCTTTTCCTGGAAAAGGCCTTTGTCGCAGAGAGAGCTCAGGTGAGGGCACGTGTACGTACGAGTCCAAGCTGCGGGGGGTGCCAATAAGAGACATCATGCCACTGGGGCAAAACAGCTTCAGTTCCAAGCTGCCACGTCGTGGATGAGTGATGGAGACTGTCACAGCCACGTGCTCCAGGGTCTTCAGCCCCGACATTTCCAGGTCCATCCTGCTGACTGTGGGAAGTCAGGCTGGGCAGCTGGGAAACCAGCCCCACAAACACTTATGCCCTCACTTCACCCCAACAGACAAAGGAACATACTCATGGAAGACACATACAAACATCTTTGGCAACCCTGACTGAACCTCGTGTACACTAGTAACTGGAATGCAGTTGCTGCTTTCAAGTTTACAATCTAGTTTAGAGTCCAGTTGGGAGGACAACACATACCCAAGACACAATGGAAGAACCAAACGGAGCAATTTCCGACATTCGCTCACCCAAAAAATAATTTACTGAGTACCTCCTACATTTCAGGCACTGTGCTAGCTGCTGGGAATATAGAGAAAAGTTGGACATGGTCTCTGCCTTCTATGTGCAAGTGGAAAATGATATGGAATGCGGTCTACATAACTGATGCTAGAACAGAGATGAGTCAGATGGGTTTAGGCACGCAGCCGTGAGACACACTTAGAGGGACGAAGTGAATACGATTGGTGGAGAGTGTTGGTAGAGGGTATTCTAGAAGGGGAAATGGCATGTAGAAAGGCAGAGGTGGACATGAACAAGTTTCATACTGAAGGAAATACAAATTAAGAAAAAAAACTACTGAAGTGAAAAAATTTCAAGGAAATTGTGCTGAATGAAAAAAAGCCAATATCAAAAGGGTACACAGGGGCTTCCCTGGTGGCGCAGTGGTTGAGAATCCGCCTGCCAATGCAGGGGACACGGGTTCGAGCCCTGGTCTGGAAGGATCCCACGTGCCGCGGAGCAACTAGCCCCGTGAGCCACAATTACTGAGCCTGCGCGTCTGGAGCCTGTGCTCCGCAACAAGAGAGGCCGCGATGGTGAGAGGCCCCTGCTTGCCGCAACTGGAGGAAGCCCTCGCACAGAAACAAAGAGCCAACACAGCCATAAAT